TCAAAAAATAGTCAATGCGGATCGATAAAATTACTGCAAAATGCAGTAATTTGTAACCTTTAGAATGTGTAATGATAGGCTGGTGCTGCCGTAAAATTGTAAGGAGAGAGATCAGCCATAATGATGTAAATCATTTAGCAACTGGGTTAGGTATATACATATTCGCATTTATTAATTTTACATCTTTGCATGATAAGAACTGAAATTGACTGGCATGGTTGTCAGTTGTTTGGTATAGGGGTCTCCCTCTCACCTCCAATTAAAGACCACTTTCTTTAGCCGGACAACTGCCTTTATATCTTTATGGTTATTATTTTCTATTTGCAGACCAAAGCTACTACAAACCATCGAAATACATGTCCGAAAAATACAGGCCTACTTTTATTTGAGGGAGACTAATAAATGGGAAAGAATATAGTAGTAACTTTGACGGCCAAATAGTTTGAAAATAGAGGGCAGTATAGCATTATAGTATCATTGTGTAGTTTGGATCTTGAAATTCAAATTTAAGTATGTATGTATAATTATTAGGCGCAAATCCCCCAAAAACAAAGCGTTTGAAGGGCAGCCAAATTAATTTTATGAAGCTAAACGTTTACGGTATCCGAATGCAAGTGGCTAGGCGGATAATCAGTTTACACTTGTTTTAAACAAGATAAATACCGCCGGCAAATAATCTTGGGCTTTGCTTAATCCTAAAAGCTTTTCTCGGCTCTTTATTATTGGAATGATTACATCTAGCAGTATTGCTTATGTGTTTATTTGTAGCGATGTCTAGTGAATTATGCCGCCCACGGCGAGCCTAGATGTGGGTAGGCCTGCTTTTATGGAGCACCTTTGAAGAACCCCTCGTTTGGGACATCCCTATTGAGACGACACCCCTGTTTCAAGGGGTCTTTTTTCGCGGCCACGAAACGAGGGAAAATGTCTTTTACGGCCAACCCCTATTCAGGGGACACCCCTATTAAGGGGGAACTTTTGGTCCCGAAGGTGTCCCCTTAATATGGCGTTATACTGTATATTTACATATCGGCCCACATTATCGGCTGAGTGACGTCTTGAACTAGAACAATTTATCATATCGTTGTTTATTTCTCATAAATTTAAGTATTATAGGCCTATTAGAAGAACACCGAAATGTCCACTGATTAATCTCAGATAAGATAGAGTACCGGTATAATACATAGGCCTACTCCAAGTATCGAAATGCACGCCATCGTGTCGGGATTGAATATTTCGACATCAATTATGTCATAATCAGGATTCCTGATAATGACATAATTAATGTCGAAATATTCAATCCCGACACGCTATTTTTAGAAGAACACCATTTGTAGAAAACAAAATAAATGGAAACTATAGGCAATAGTATACAATTTATACATAGGCATACACAGTCTTATCTCACTTAGTTGAGAGCAAGCGAAGATGGTTTTGGGTTCGAACCCAAAAGGGGACATTACATTTTTATTTAGTCACTCGAAAGTAAGTTAATCTATGAGAGTATACGGTGCGTGCGAGCATGGAAGTTTCTGATTTTGTGACTAACAAAATAAAATATTTCAGCTAAAAATTACATCATTGTTTGATAGCCTGTACATTTAACATTTCTCGCTATGTGTGCGATTATGATTTTCACCAATTAATCTATCTTCTTTAACATATATTTTTTAAACGTAGACGAAACACACAACATTAAGAAGCCGAATATTATTCCGGTAGAAATTATGAACATAACTCCTGGTCACCTCTGTACTAACGATCACCATCAACAGATACCGGTATTGATTTTATACTACACACAACTACATTCGACCCAAACCTAGAGAGTGTCAAGAATCATGAAGACAGTAAGCTATTTTATGTGTTGAAACCCATAACCAAGTTCTTTGTTCTTACTTACCAGCTACCGTACTTAATCGCCTTCAAGTTTAAATTATATTTTTCAAGTCTGTTGGCTACTTCAATACGATTAGATGTCCACGTGGATGTTTTCTTTAAATGTTCATACACCTTATTCCTCCTGCGATCTATGATGGCGCCAGTGTAGTTTGATTTTCATCCTTTAGAAACCAATAAAATATTGTTTATTGCACACAAAAAAACAAAAAACAGTAACACACTATTTCATCTAAATATCAATTAATGAACGATATGAGAACACGACTGTACAGAATCCAAATGCTGTCAAATTTGCATTTATTGACTTCTTTTGATCAGGGAGTTAGTTGGTTTAATCGTGGAGCTATAGGTTTAATGTATTGACAAAACAGTGCACGGATTATTCAAATAGGCATAGGCCAAATGCTATTTATTTCACGTAATAGAAACATACCAAGAGCGATTTTTTTACGAAACAAGACCAGTCTACTGATACTTTTTCTAAGTAACTGTGAAATACACAATGAGCGTTGATTGGCCAAGAAAGTTATAGCCTGAGTCATGTGATAAGAATGTACAATGGTTAATTGCAGCGGTATCGTTTGAATATTAGGTGATGTGTTAATAGCTTTGTTATCTAATAGCATTGTTTATAAAGAAACGGATAGTATTGTTATATCATGTAGTGTTGCGGCTTCTTTTTGAACTTCGGGTTAGTCAACAGGCAGGTTCAACCACGTTAATCCTAAGACAGCACTGTATTAAACTACTTTAATCACCAATGAAAGCAGTTTAACAAAAATGACGCAAGCACAGTGTATGAATAAATATTTTGAAGCTAGTTATTGTAAATTCTCAAGTTTCCTAGAAATTCCGATTTCACAATCACATGCCAAATCTATTGAACAATCGCATCAACTTTTAAAAACATGTAGGCCTTCACAAAGCCAACGGTCAAACTACGTTTACGTTTACGTGGTTAGATCTTGCAAAAGACTAATAAGTCCGTCACTGCAAGGTTTCAGATGTCTGTGCTGCAGACATTTGAAACATTGCCATGACGGACTTACGTTGACTTTGTGAACTAGGTTGAAAAGTCGTTATAGGGCTACACCTAGACACTAAGACGATTCATCATCAATTACACAAGGTAGTTTTCCGACACATCTTTAAATTTAATCAATAATAATAGGCCTAATATTATTATTATTAATAATGATGAGGATGACGAGGACGCTAGTGATGATGAAGTTGACCAGATGATAATATGAGGGCGGTGATTTTTGTTATAATGATGTACAGCGATCTCTCCAGAAAGGAATTTCGCATAGGCCTATATATTCTGGTAAAAAAAATTCATCATCTTCAATAACGTAATCTTCAAGTTTTATATGAATAATTGTGTACAAAAAAATAAAAATAAAAGAATAAAAAATAAAAACATTTTAGATTGCAGTTAAATTTCATGATCCAGTGTTCTATTGGTGATTCGTGTTAAGAATCATTCGTGTTAAGAATCACCACATTTCAAGCGCTCATTCCTTAAACAAATGGAATCGTTATGTGAAAGCTATCACACAATTAGTCCTACGTTAAATGACAGTCTGACTCTTGTATGATTAAACATTCTTTGCTGAAATACCTTAAGAGTACCGTACCGGTAACTCATAGGGCCCGCAATTAGCTCCTTTTGGTACTCTAATTAATTAACTTAATTAAAAGGACAGATTATTGCATATAATTATGGGCACAGCTCCATCCCTATGTTTTCTCAGTTCTCAAGAATTGCTATGACCATATTATTACCATATTCTAAGGATCGTTTTTCATGTTGTGGCATCTAGGTGATTCAGAACACAGTGGCGGATTCCCCTTTGGAAAGTAAGAAAAAATGATCACCCAAAACGCCTCAGAGTTTATATTCGGGCGTCTAGAAAAAAAAAATGTCGCGGGGGAATGTTCCTAGACCCCCTATGGTAGTGTTATCTCGTTTGGCCCCACTTCCCCCACCTCTCTTCGGACATCTCTTCAACAAATGTAACAAAACAATAAAAATGGAAAGTACAATAATAGCCTAAATATCTTTATTTATTACCCGGTCGAATAAGATATACTTTGTGCCAGGACGAATAGCCTATTCATCAATTTTCACGGTCAAATGATACTACTTAAGCTGAAATAGGCTTGTAACATAATATAATAATATTATAATTATAAAATTATTATAATTTTCGACAATAATTTAAACTGCTTTATGAATACCTTTCCTTCATTTTCTTCTTATTTATCATGCACCATAAAGTACTAATAACATTCTTACAAAAACAGATGTTATGACTTCAAGGGTCGTATGAATAATTTCTTGTGTAATGAACTTTGGGAATCTGGTTTTCCAAACCCAGTACAGTTTGATTATAATGGAAACATCGAGCCTTTAAAACACGTGAAGTGACGTATGGTCGGGATATTACGTGGCATTATTATGAGATACTGTATACTTTTAGATAGGGAATGTAATTGAATAATTAGTGATACTAATAATAACAACGTGTCATCCTTTAATTTATAAGAGTCAGTCCATAAATCATGATTATTGAATAATGTCCTAATGAATAGCCAGTTGACTGTTGGCACTCATAGTTATAGTTAATTAGCATGATCTATCTGAATACTCCATTAATGACAGAGTGTTTATATGTTTTTTTGTGAATTCTACATGCATCATCCGAGCATTCTTGTTTAGGCACTCTTCAGATAAAATTTATTACTATTTAGTTTCGTGCTACACATACATGGTGCAGCACTCTTCAGATAA